GCTCTGCCTTATTATATCTCTATATCTTTGGGTTGTTACTTCATCCCTTGGGGACTCAGGATTGTTTTTATATTATGGAACAATTATGGTTACATGAATTTAAGATTTCCTAAAGGAGTGTATTGAGTCACTATTATGTGCGCTGAGTAATCTAGAGATGTTTTACTTAAATCTTGACAAAGTCTGTGCTATGACATACATAAAAAAACATGGACTATGTTGATTAAAATGCTACGAACATGTAGAGCATAATAAAAGGCTAAATAGTGATGTGAAAGAAGGACACAAAACATGGAAGCCTTCCTAAGAGAGGATGCGGGTATGTTTGAGAATTCACACATAAACAACACTATGACTATTTTGATTGGATCCAAAAGGAAATATCTTTTAAAAACTGTCCATAAGCACATGAAATTCTTCTCCAAAATTTTTTTTGGGGGGTTAGATGGAGCTTCCCAAAGAGTAGCTCCTGGCAGAAGCTCAGGAGATGACCCAGTAGGAAAAGGGTCTGCTATGCAATATGTGGATGTGATCCAGATCCCCAGAACCCATATAAAGCCAGATGCAGTACTAGACACCCCTACATTCCTATGTTGAGATAGCAAGTGGAAACAGGAGAATCTCTGAAAGCTTGGGAGCCAGTCAATCCGATGTATGTAGCAATGAACAGGGGATCCTGTCTCAATCAAGGTGAACAATAAAGACTGACACCCAGGGTTGTCTTCTGACTTCTACATGCATTCTGTGTGAACTCGTGTGTACATACATACAGAGATATTTAAGAAGTATAAGCTGTAGTATGCTATGGGCCATTGAAAGTACTTTGGAGCTCAGCTGCTCCAAACTGCCTCCATGATAGAAACATGGCTGACTAGATGACCTATATAAAAATACATTCTGCCATTCTTGTTTGGTTTGGGTATCTCCTCAGGAGAAATTAAATTAAAGATATTTGGAATTTTTCCAGAAATTAAAATTTGCTGTGAAATTAAGCAAAACTAGAACCAAAGTCACCATCACCTTCTTGTGGATACTTCCTATCTCATTTGGTATTTCTTCAGCTGGTTCACCCACAACTCCTGGTACCTTCCCTCTGTTTCTTCTTAGTGATGAGATACTGATGAAACTTTTATTATTCTGAACTTAGGAAAAATGCAGCACTCCTAGAGATGGGGGTAACCAAATATCAATTCTGAGCTTTCTGAACTGCTGCAAACCATCAGGAGATCTAGCTCCTTCTGCACAGCACATGCAACCTTGACGTGGAAGATGTTTTTCAACAGGCAAAAGCATTTGTAATAGTATTAGAGTTGATCTTCATGAAGTCTCATTGGGGTGTCAAAAGAACTCATGGCTCTGTTTTGGTCATATGCAGTTTACACTTAGGGTTTCAGGGACTCTAAGCACCCCCCCCCACCACTCCACTGATCCTTTCTCTCAATACTTCAATGGTGACTTCACTCTTTCTGGGCCAATGTTCTTTTGCAGTAGAAGACCTCTCATGACATAAATCTGAAGTGGACGTCGGACAGAGAGAATGGATCAGAACTGAAGTCTGTTTTTTGTGTTTTCCTTGACAAATAGGATTGTCTGAGTTTCCAATCATGTTAATTTGCTTACTCTGGCACAAACTCTTGTCTCTTTTGTTGATTAATTCTTGATATTAGATTACAGTTTGTACAAATATTCTTTCCAATTATTTCCAAAGCTTTTATGGAATATTCTGGGGTTTCCCCTCCAAACTTATGTGCTTTGTAAATATTATCCAGAGCTTAGATGTCTAAACAGGCCTCCAATGGAGTCCCTTCTCCTTGGTTATATTGTTTTGTTTTTCATAAAGTAGAATTTTGGGATTTTACATTTGTCAGTATGATTCAACTGCGCAACCATATACTATTTATCATTTATACGTTCATGAAGTGATGGAGGAAGGTCATTGGTTAATAAAGAAACTGTTTAATCTGATAGGTTAGAACATAGGTGGGTGGAGTAAACAAAACAAAATGCTGAGAGGAAGAAGGCAGTGAGGTAAGACGCCTCAGATAGATGCCATAGCCTCTCCTCTCTGGGGCAGACGCGATGAAGCTCCGACCCAGGATGGACGTAGGCTAGAATCTCCCTAGTAAGTCACCACCTCCACCACCTCGTGGTGCTACACACATTAATAGAAATGGGCCAGGCAGTGTTTATGTAAATACAGTTTGTGTGTTGTTATTTTGGGGCATAAACTAGCCAGGTGGCCGGGAGCTGGGTGGTAGGAAAGTAGGCCCGCAGCTCCACACTACAGAATGGCACCCAGACGTGGATAACTTAGTCAACAGAAAGCCTGAGAAAGCTTGGGAAAGAATAGAGTAAAGCATGTTTTCTTGGTAGCAGCAATTTCTTGGGTCTGCTCTGCTTGCGAGAGGCAAGCAAGCACTCTCATCTAAGAGAGGCTTCCTGACTCAGCTTTAGCTGCAAACCCTGCAGCTTTCTTAAGAGGTCCTGCCACGAAACACTTAAATGGTGTTGATAAAAGCCAACTGAATGCATGTTTGTTTTCAGCAGTAGCAGAAAAAACGCTGAGTTGTTTTAAAATGCCGGCTTTCTGGACCACCCTGCCAGGGCAAACTCTGACTCTTTAAGGCAGAAGGGCCAGCTACAGAGAGAGCACTTGAGTGTTGCCTGTGGATATACTATTGCAGCTTGTTTGCTGGCAAGGACCTTGAAATGCCATAGAGTTGTGGCAATAAAAATAGAGTCCGTACCTCTGCCATGAGGCTGGAAAGCTAAGGAATGGGCTGGATCTAGCCATCAAAGCCACGGCTTTAATCCTCTCCTTATAGACTCATGTAGTCAGAAAAAGAGAGATATACAGTAAAGAGAGGTTAAAAAAAACTCTAAATGGTTTACAGCGTGTTTAAAAATATATGCAGGCTTGAAAAAAAAGTTAAAGTTCTTAAAAGTAAAAAAGAAGAAAAGGAAGTAGTTGTGTGTGGTAGTACACACCTTTAATCCCAACACTTGGGAGGCAGAGAGAGATTGACCTCTGAGACTTCAAGGTGTGGTAGCACACACCTTTAATCCCAATGCCTGGGAGGCAGACAGAGGGATCTCTGAGAGTTCAAGGACAGCCTGGTCTACATAGTTATTCCAGGACAAAGATATACAGAGAACCTGTCTCAAAAAGTAAAAATAAATGAAATAGAGGTTAAAATAAAGCCACACAAAGATGGAAAATACACAGAAAATCTTGATACTGTATGCTATTATGCTCTCTTTGAATTGTTTGAATGCTGAGGAAGGAGCAGTCTGTGGTTATGACCCAGACACAGAAAAACAAGGTGAGAATACCTTGCTAAAAAAGGTACCAAGTCACATGGCTAACATGGAAAAGAATTATGGGTTAATTTAATATGTAAGAAAGAATTAATAAGAAGCCTGAGTTACTAGGTCAACCATTTTATCACTAATGGACACCTCTGTGTGTTTCATTGGAACTAATGGCTGAGGGATCAGGCAGGACAGAAACCTGATTAACAGGATGAAACCAATGTGGACAGCTAAATCCACTTAAAACCTGAGAGAGCTTGGGACGTAATTGTAGAAACAAAACGAACATAGTTAAGCATGGCTTCTTGGTAGCATTTTCTCATGTGGGCTCTGTTTCCTAAAGTCTGGTGTACCTCATTTAAGAGAGGTTTCCTGACTCAGTTTCAGAAGCAAAACCTTGTAGCTATTTTAAGAGGCCCTACCACCAAACACTTAAATGGTGTTAATGAGTAGCAAATAGCATGCAACATGGTGGTGGCAGGGACCTTGAAACTCCATAGATTGTATTAAGAAACATGTCTCCAGCCAAGGCTTTAATTTAAGCCATATTTCTTAGCAAAATAAAGACTCATGTGGTTAGCAAAAGAGAGATATACAGTAAAGATATATTCAGATGAAGAAAACCTGTAAATAGTTTACAGTGTGATAAAAAATATGTTTAGGCTTGGGAGAAAAAAGGAAAAGGATAAAGTCCTTAAAATAAAAATAGAGAAAGAGAGTAGTTGGGAATGGTGTCGCACACTCAAGTCCCAACAATAGAGAGGCAGAGGCAGGGGATCTCTGTGAATTCAAGGTTTTTAACACACACCTTTAATCCCAGCACCTGGGAGGCAGAGACAGGCAGAACTCTGTGAGTTCAAGGTGTGGTGGCTCAAACTAATCCCAACAGCTGAGAGGCAGATGAGGGGGATATCTCTGTGAGTTCAAGGTCAGGTGGCACACACTTTTAATCCCCACACTTGGGAGGCAGAGGCAAGCAGATCTCCTATAGTTCAAGGTTGATGGCACACACCTTTAATCCCAACACTTGAGAAGAGGAGACAGGAAGATCTAATAAACTACAAACAATAAAAATGAAAGAAACTAAAAGAAACCATGGGATTATGTAGGACGATGGTCTTTACCTTCTCAATTATATTTTAATAAAATGCTGGTTGGCCAGTAGCCAGGGAGGAAGAATAGCTAGAGCGACCAGAACAGGAGAATTCTGGGAGGAGGAAAAGGTCAATCAAGAGTTCCCATTCAGACACAGTGCAAACAAGATGTGACTGCCTTGCCGAAAAAGCTACCCAGTCATGTGTCTAACACAGACAAGAATGATGGGCTAATATAAGGTATAAGAGTTAATAAGAAGCCTATGCTACCAGGCCAACCAGTTTAAGATTAATGTAGACCTCTGTGTATGTGTATTTCTTTGGGACTTAAGGACTGTGGGAATGGGCAGGGCAGAATCCCCAGTCAACAATGGGAGGAAGTGGGCGTGGTCTCTAGAGACTATATAAGGACACTCCTGGGCCCAGCTAGCCCCATTTTTCACCAGAGCAGGCAGAGTGTGTTTCCACACATTCTGGCTCCGGAGACTGCTAGATTTATCACCTCCGAACATTGAGGTTTGGACCCCAGAGCAGAGCTAATACTGTTGTGTCTCCAGTAAACACTGCTGAGGCCAGAGACAGTTCCTTGGAGAAATGGAGTCAGGCCTCTCACAGGCCTTCCAGGAAGAACTCAACTGCTTCATCTGCATGAGCTACCTTACAGACCCAGTCACCATAAGCTGTGGCCACAGCTTCTGTCGAGCCTGCCTCCACCTTTCCTGGGAAGACAGCCTGCTCCCTGTCCAATGCCCTACGTGTAGGGAACCATGCCAGAAGAAGGACTTCAGAACCAGCATTGTTCTGAAGAATCTGGTGTCCATTGCCAGACAAGCCAGCCTCATGAAGTACCTGAGTGCTGAGGAGAATAAGTGTGTGACCCACAAGGAGACCAAGGGGATCTTCTGTATGGAGAACAGGATCTACCTCTGTCAGCTCTGCTCCGACTCCCATGAGCACAGAGGTCACAGACACTGTCCCATAGAAGCAGCTGCTGAGGGTCAAATGGAGAGAGTTCTGAAGCAAATGGAATCAATATGGAATAAGATCCATCAAAATGAAGAGAATCTAGAGGCAGAGAAAAGAATGATAATTCTGTGGAAGGAATGCTTGATTCTAAGAGAACTAAAGATAAGGGCAGAGTACAGGACATATTATCCAGACCTCTCTGAGCAGGAAGAAGAGGATATTGAGTGTATGAAAGAAGAAGGCAATTATTATTTACAGAAACTCATGGAAAGTGAAGCCATGATAGTTCAAAAGGGCAAACAACTAAGAGATATGTATCAGGAGCTGATGTCAATGTCCCAGGAGCCATATGTGGTACTGCTCCAGGATTTTGATGACATATTCAGAAGGAGCGAGTCAATTCAATTGATCAAGCCCCTGGCCATGAAACCAGAACTCTATGTCCTAGCCCTCGGTGGACTGGATGAAAGCTTCGACTAGTTTGAAGGAGAGTGTCTTCATTGATGAAATGACCACAGTGCATATTTTCTTTGAAAATCTAACCATACTCCACTATAAGATGAACCTATTTAATGCCATGAGAAGCATCAGGTTTAGACCTCGGCAACAGGATACACCTGTGAATCCTGCTGGAATGTATCTGGCCTCCTGGGGATGCCAGAACTTCATCTCAGGGAAATATTACCGGGAACTGGATTTGGAGGACTCTTGGAACTGAACTGTAGGGTCTGTATATTATCCGGGTTATGGAATACAATGCAAGCATTTGAAATTGAGGGTGCATTCCTTCTTTCCTGTGTGAATGAGGGTAATCAAAAAATCATCTGGTCAATTGTGAATATTTGAAATGTTCCTAAGAATGTACATATATTAATAAATTTGCCTAAATAAATGAGTGTGTGTGTGTTTATACATGTGAAAGGATGGTAGAGTAGGAGAGCAAAGGAAGGACACACACAGAGTAAGGGAGGGAGGGAGGGAGGGGAAAGGACCAGAAGAGTGGAGAAAAAAGCAGAAGAGGGGAGGGAAGTAGAGAAGTGAAGGACATAGGAGAACAGGAGAGAGGTTAGATCATTTTAAGAAAGTGGGTAGCACAGATGATGAATACCTCACCTGGAAGAACATACCTACAAAAAAGGGCTCGCTCTGCTTGGTGTCCAGTCATCACCAAAGAGAAAAACAACAGCAAGAACTGAAAGCACAGCAGAGTAGAGTTGTCAATAACCCATGGCTTTAAAATGATAATTATTTATTCCCCAGTTGATATTTCTCAGATGTGCATATCAATGCCAAACCTGCAAATTTAATTTTTTAAAATAAGGACCAATTATTTTTATGTGATGATAAATATAGTTGCTAAAAAGCATTATATGTTATTGATTTCTTCGATTTGCTCAATTGGCATTTTTCTTCAGGGAAAACCTATTTAATTTTGTCTCTTTTTTAAATAGAAAATTTTACACGTTTATTTAAAATAGAACAACAAATGACTTTAAAATAGCAATATAAGTTGTGATATTTTAATCGGGGTTCAGTTTAAAAAGTAAAACATTCCAATTTCTTAACCAGAAATACTTATTCTCTTCAATGCATGTGCATACAGATTTTCAGTTGGTTGAATATTTGATCTATTAATAAGAAACAATATATATATTAATGGAATGTTAATGTTCAGTTGGTTTAGTATCCCATCTCTTAATAAAAGGCAAGACATGTTAATGAGAGCAGTTTCAACTAGGTCCTTCCATGTTTTGTTCTCATACAAAAAACAAGTTGTATGGATAATGGTCAGGAAGAATCTAAACAAGGGAGATTTGATTCAGAGGGCAGGGAGTGTTGTGGAAAAATGGTTTTACCCTGTAAAGATGTGTTTCTTGTACTTGTTTAATGAAATGCTTATTGGCCAGTAGTCAGGCAGTAATTAAAGGCAGGGCGACCAGACACAATGTAGAGGTGGGGCAATGAAAACAAGAAAATTCTGGGATGAGGAAAGATGTAGTCTGTGGTCATGGCCCAGACACAGAGGAATTAAGATGAGAATGCCTCACTAAAAAAGGTACCAAGTCACGTGGCTATCACACACAAGAATTATGGTCTAATTTAAGATGTAAGAAAGAATTACTTAATAAGAAGCTTGAGTTACTAAGTCAATCATTTTATCACTAATGTAGACCTCTGTGTGTTTCATTGGGGCTAAAGGCTGAGGGATCAGGCGGGACAGAAATCTCTGTCAACAGAATGACTTCAATGTGGACAGCTAAATCCACTTAATACCTGAGAGAGCTTGGGAAGTAATTGTAGAAACAAAAAGAACAGAGTTAAGCATGGTTTCTTGGTAGCATGTTCTCAGGTGGGTTCTGTTTCCTAGAGTCAGGTGTACCTCATTTAAGAGAGTTAATCATATGGAAGAATTTGTGGATAGATATTTGGTTTAGAAATTAATTATTTCAACATGTGAGGCTTTTATTGGGCTGCCAAACAATATCCGTTGGGTAGATCACAGTATAGAACCAGCAGCTAGTAGGCGTAAGTTTCTTGGATTAGTAAAACTTAAGCTGGGAATTCTAATATTACATTTTCTACACAGTTGGGTGGTTTGGGGAAGAATATTCACCTGTAAGCATACATACAGATAAAAATGGCAAATGTTTGTAATCCCAGCATTTGGAAAGGAAAGACAAGAATATCAGGAATTCAAGGTCATACTTGGCTTTATAGAGAGTTGGAGGCCAACCTGGGATACACTTAGTCCCTGTCTCAATAAATAAATAAATGAAAAGAAACATTTTTGTTCTTGGGTACACTACAAATTAATCTAGTTTTAAGAATAGAATGGGTTTAGTCAGGCGGTGGTGGCGCACGCCTTTAATCCCAGCACTCGGGAGGCAGAGGCAGGCGGATCTCTGGGAGTTTGAGGCCAGCCTTGTCTACAAGAGCTGGTTCCGGGACGGGCACCAAAGCTACAGAGAAACCCTGTCACGAAAAAACAAACAAACAAAAAAAAAATTGAATGGGTTTAGACGACTACTAACAAAACAAAATAAAAAAGTTTCAATCAAGTACCAAAGAAGAAAGTGATTAAACCTGGAGATGGAATCACAGGCTTTGGACAATTTGAAGGAAGGTTTGAATTCCCTTATCCAGGACTAGACAGGCTGGTATCTGCTCATGTCTATCAGTCTCAAGAGGTTCAACAATGCATCAACTCAGAGGACTTTCTGTTTCTGATTTTCTAGTAACTTTATTGTCTGCTATGGAGAAGGAGAGTGAGGAGGAGGAGGATGAGGAGAAGAGAGAGAGAGAGAAAGAGAGAGACCCCAAAGCCACTAAAGCAAAAGTGTTGTGGCATAGATAGAACAAAATTAACAGCTATCTTTCAAGCCTTTCAAGCTGTTGCTCTTTGATGATGCTGTAAATTTTTATTTAGGTTCATTTGACACAAATTCATGTTGCAATCCATGCTACTTCAGAACACATCAGGTTTTGCTTAGCTGTACTGATGGCAACTTCTTGAGGCAAAGAGAGCCTGAATGTAAAATAGGTTGTGCATAACCCCCACAGTGTTAAGCACTGTGTAAGGTGATTATGAGTGTTCAACAGGTGTTGTGCTCTAACAAAAGCATTTACTCCAAGGAGAAATCTTGTTATCTAAAAAGAGCAGCAGTAAGTTCTGCTTAGGTAGATACCATCCTGGCATATGTAGCCACTTCAGAGGGGACTGTCGTTTCTCTTTCCAAAGTTTTTGGAGGAGAATCCTCTCTATATAGAGAAATATTCTAAAGCGACATGGAAGAGAATGTATTTAGTCACTCATGTGCTTATTTTTTTCTCCATTTCCCTGTGTTCACATTCTCTCACAAAAATTTAAAGACATTTTATGGGGTCACCCTACAGTGATGTTGAGTCTGAGTCTTATTAGGGAGCATGACCTGTCAAATGAAAGGACTTGTAACGATTTATTTTGATGAGATGTAGCTCATCAAAACACTCTCTTGTAGATAATAACATTTTATGATGCACAAATCTGGCTCTTAAAAGGCTGAACTGTCCCCAGGCCACTTAGGTTACAGCGACAGAGCCACGTCCATCTAGCTAAGTGCAAATCTATATTCCTGTTAAATATCTCCAGCCCCCAGCCCCTGACACTATTTGGGGTTAATCAGCTGCTCAGCTGATCTTTAGTGAGCATCATTTAGGGAGATACTCAACACCATCACTGTACCAGCTTCCTGATGGGCACCAAGCCAAGCATAGCACACTTCTTATCCTTGCTCCTGTCTGCACGCTCAGCTTCTGTGCCCTTTGAAGCAGGGTTTCAAACTAGACAACTCCAGCTGGAAGCTTCATGTCCTGGAGCCTACATAACTAATAAACAATTTCTTCTTTGAAGTTGTAGAAAGGATGATTTAAGACCTCTACATATGCCTTTTAGATAACAACCTGCCTTTTAATCAAATAATAGAAGATTATCGTAAAAACAAACCAGAGTGACTGAGTCACTCATATCCTGGTAGTGCATCATGCTGAAAGCATTTGCTTTTAATGTGCTGAAAACCTAGAAACTGTTAAATGCTGACATTTTATAAATATACTAGTTTATTTTCCCTCTTGAATAATAATATTTTAGTCTCTGGAACATCATTGTAATTATAACCAGCTTCATATACCAAATTTTCAATGGAAATTGTCAAGTTTGAAATAGTTAATCCTTATTTATAGAATCTATATCAGAAAGCTTTAGAATGACTTCTTGTTATGTTTTTCTCGGCAAACATTTAAAAGATGCAGTAACTTTTTTAGTCAATGTTCATATTTAAGCTGTGATTATTTCTATTATTAGTTCAAATCTTAAATCTCTTTTATATTTCTGATGTTTGTTTAAATTATGGTATATACGAAAGTAGTCAGAAGTCTTGGGCCTCTAGGAAATATTTTGTCTGTTATTACATTTTTCTTGTCTTGGTTGTTGCTTCTCTTTCTAGTTTTGAAAAGTGAAAATAGAAACAGCAAATAAAGTGAACTTGTCTTCCATTGCTGTAATTGCTGTTTAAACAGCTTTCCCCCCCTCTCTCCCTCCTCCCTCCCTTCCACCCTTCCCTTCCCACTTTCCTCCCCACTCCCTCCTTCTATCTCTCCCTCTCTCCTTCCTTTCTTGCTTTCCTTCTTATTCCCTCCATCCCTCCTTTTGCCCCTCTCTCTTTTTGTTTGAATTCCTGCTCTATACATAATGAGCTGGGCAAGATCCTTAATTAATTGATGAAAAGATTAATGGTGAGAAATACAACATAGAATAAAATGCTTCTGTGAAGACCCTTCTTTGTCTTCCATATAGTGTTCTTTATGCCCTCCTTCATCCCATGGAAGGCATTAGAAGAGGTTGAGTTAGGGGTTATATGGGGATCAAGTACATGCTTGTATAAATGAGAATTCATAATAAGAATACATGATGGAGGAAGGTCATTGGTTAAAAAAATAAAGAAACTGCTTGGCTGGCCCTTATAGGTTAGAACATAGGTGGGTGGAGAAAACAGAACAGAATGCTGGGAGAGAGAAACTGAGTCAAGGAGTCGCCATGATTCTCCCACTCCAGGCAGATGCAGGTTAAGATCATTCCTGGTAAGCCAGCTCGTGGGCTACAGCAGATTATTAGAAATGGGCTAGTCCAGGTGCGAGAGCTAGCCTAGAAGAGGCTAGATAGAAATGGGCCAAGCAGTGTTT